ACCCCAAAACCCCAAAACCCCATGAAAGTAAATATGTGGTTAATATCATAAAGAAATTAATATCAGATTTAAAAATAGTCGATAATAGCCATCGGTAATATATTTCACTTTTTCTTAAATTGGTCTACTAATAAAATCGTACTTAAATTCAAAAGCTATAGTTATCATCAAAAATTTTAAACTTAAATAGCCTATCAGTGTGGTTTTTATTTGCTTTAATCTCTCTTTTAAGGTTAATTTTTAATTATTGGTAAGGGCTTTGCCTCCTATATTGCAGATTTCTGCTAAGTATTACTGTTTGTTTTATTTTAAGTAGAATAAGTGCTAGGTTTTGTAGATTTCACTGCTGCTTAAGTAGATCTCGTTTCCTTTATTCCACTCTTATTCAGTGATTTCACTTCAGGCTTTGGAGTAATTAGTCTATAATATTCTTCAAATAGTTTAACTAGAGCTGTCTCACTTTTTTCTAGTACTTGCAAATTATAGCCTATGTCAATTGAAGTTTCTAGGTTAACTTCGATGACAGGACATTCTATTTTATCTAGAGCTTTGTTTACAATTCTCTTTGCGAATCCAGTAGCTAATGCAGTTCCAACTACAATCAAGCAATCCATTTTGTCGTCCATGTAGTTTTCTACAGTAGTGCTCTTGTAATATAACTCAGTATAGCATTCATCAAAGAACATGCAATGAGGCTTCATATTCTTGCCGCAAGTTTAGCACTTTGGTACTACTGAAGTCTGACTGGCTAATTCTGATAGAGGAGGTGTCTTATAAAATATTTTACTGCACTCCTCATCTTCATTTGAACAATGCATGTAGAGTGCGTTTCCATGTATTTCATAAATATTTGGAGTAAATGCACAATCAGCAGTGCCACCTTTAGCCTCCTCATAACCATAAGGGTAGAATACTTTGCTTTATTTTATTAGCTAATTGTGATAGTTGTCAACATTTTAAGTAACCAAAAAGGATTCAACATTTTTGTCTCTATTCTTTTGGCAGAACTCCTGAAACTTCAAGATAGAGTGGTGGCCTTTATTAGGCTGACATCTTTTTTGAAGTTCAATGAAGTCGTGATGCCATTACCAATTTTTTTCAGGTTGCCTGTAGAAATACTTATAAGTCATTATAGCCTAGGGGTCCATTTCACGATCTTCTTCATTTTTTCTATTCCAAAATCCATTTACACCTCTGAAAGTTGGTATTCCACTTGCTGCACTTAAACCAGCTCCTGTAAGAATCATTATGTGCTTCTTGCCAATCATGTGCTTGGCTGCATTTTCAGCAGATATTATTTCAGGAGTATGCTTGTAAATTTCTCTAGGGTCAATGGCACCTCAATAAAGCATCATTGTTTCAGCTAATTTTCTATTCATTCTGATAAAACCATTCTAGTAGTCTTCAAACTTTTTCTATAGGTCTGAAAGATCAACTCCTCCTGTAAACTAATAATTATGATCTTTGCTCTAATTATTATTGGTCTCTGTTTTCTCCATAAGTAGTTTTTTTATAAAATTTTCTTATATAAATTTGTTAATTTAAATGATTTTATAAATTATGATGGCTAGGAAGTTCTTATTGCCTTAAATCCTTGAATTTCAGCTCTTGGGGTTTTGGGGTTTTGGGGTTTTGG